TTATGTTGAGGTTAAGTTGAGTAGCGCAAGCTAGACTTCGCCTCATGATGTTTATGTGCATTGTATATTACAAGCAAATAAAGGCATTTTATTTTTATTATTATTATTATATGTCCATACTCCTGACCCTTTTTTAATAACATCTCTATATATATTTCTGTACTAGAGATAATAGATTTGACCAGTGTTTATTTTTTATATTAATTTCTCTTGGTTGAAAGCTATTTAAAAAACAGAGTTCAAATTGTGAAGATAGATGCTAATCTGTCCATATAATACGTCGTACCCACAGGGATTCCACAAGGTTCCCATGTGGGACCATTATTGTTCTTACTATACAAGGTAGTCTAGCTTATATCGTCAGGATTTTACTAATTTATCGAAAAAGTAGTTAGAGAATTTAAATTATGTTGCTAAATATCTACTTTTATTTTCCTATTACAATTTTGTTTATATTTTTATTTTTGAATCTGTTGTATTTAACATGAATCCTGTATTTGTGAAAACATTCAGCAAATGTAAAAGCATCCCCAAAAGTCAAATAAGACAAGAGCTTCTAAGATATGAATGCTCATCATAATTAAGTAATAAAATAATATAAATATCTTTATTGACCAATAGATAAAAACCCTTTAGAGTACTAATTAGATTAAGGTACAATAACATTGCACTATTTGTTTTAAATTATAATAAATGAAAATTAATAATAAATAATAATACCATCTTAGAATATTTTACTATTCCACACTTATATTGGAGGATTTGTTGATTTTAACAGAGGGGTTATTTTGAGATAGAGTTGGATTATCTTCAATTGTTAACAAACTATATCCATTGTTTGATGTTACATTTTCTTCAGTTGTGTTGTTCTTTTAATTCACCACTATGCTATGTTTTGTGCCTTTAACTTGTTGCCACAGTGACCTGCTAATGATAACAGCTTCACCTTGTTCTTCTTCGATAGTTGACGGAATTCTCACATATTGTTGGTTCATAATATAAAGAATTGTTTGAGGTAAGTTGTAGATGGTCGGTATGTGTAATGATAGTTGGGAAATTATAAAGGTCGATCAAACTGATTTGGTATGCCAAACTAAACTATAAGATGAGTAAGAATGTACAAACATTTATTTAGCTTGAATTCCATTTGAACTTTTTTATTTGCATACCCACTTAATCACGACTACAAGTTTTTGTTAATATTTTATCGACAATAATTCACATTTTGCCTGATCAATGATAAATTACTATTTGATTAATATGTTGAACATTGCTTTCTATGAGGCGTAAAACTATATTTTCTAAGAAAAATTATTGACAAAAAAATACACATTGGTATCAAACATCTGTTTAGATGATTTCTGATAAAAAGGCAGCTTATAATAATATAAGATCATGTTGCAAACTCGTAATAATGTAATTTATATTATCAAAATTTTACTCAATCTTCTGTTAAAAGTAATTTAGGGCTTTCTGGAATTCAGTTAATAGCAAAAGACTGATACAAATGTATAAGCCAATAGACCAAAGATTTTTTTAGACCCAGTATTATTTTTTATTTTGTAGAGAATGGTCGAAAATTAATTTAACTTTCCACACATTTTCAGGGATTTTTTTTTTATTTTCAAAAAAGTATCACTATTCATCAATGGATGGCGATGGGTATAAAACGGGTAAATAAAGGTTTTCTCAGAAAACTAAAGACCTCAGTTGATTGATTGAAATAAATAGAATTACAAATTGTGATGCGTTGTTATATTCCATTGAACGATTAGGTGATTTTTCAATTTCACGTTGAATCGTTATTGTAATATTCAAATAAATGAGGTAATGTTTCCTCAAATCAATAAAAAATTAAGATAGAAAACGTATAGAATATCAGTTTGTCAAAATTAAAATAATTAAATGCTTAACAGTTCCTGAAATATCGCCTAACTTAATTGGACATTCATTATAATCACATTTCTATCTTTAAGGGTTTATATGTGGGTAAATTTAAAGAATATTTGTAAATTAGGCTAATAATGTGAAACATGAACAACCTTATACTTATTTTTAAATACTTTGGCTCAAATACCTAATAAGGCTTTTATATAGATACTTTGGCTCAAATACCCAATAATAACTCTACAAGGATCTTATAAGAAACAATTACTGATTAATTTTTTTTCTTTGTTGTTCTTGGGTTTTTAGGTGCTAGTGAGAAATGAAACTCGTGTATGTGTGGGTAAAGCTTTCGGCACTGATCAGTGCCTTCTTCAGTAGTTTTTTTTTATTATTTGTAATTTTTTTTAAACATATAAAACAGTTCTTTAGTACAAAGTTGGGGTGTGTCAAGTTTAGAATCCTTTTTTTTATTATAAAATTTGCATAAAAACTGAAAATAAATTCTTAGGCTTATTCATTGACCAGAAATTAAAATTTGAAATCCATATTAATAGTTTGTATAAGAAGCTGTACTCTGGACGTTTTGCAGTAAGAACTGTCGCATACAACTTAGATATTTCGTTTGCAAGGACTGTATACTTTTCATTGGTAGAATCCCATCTGCGATATGCTATAAGTTTCTGGGAACATGTTCTTCCGAGTCTTTGTCTTACAGAAGAGGGCCATAAGACATATATGCAAAGTTGATGCTAGTGTCTCTTGTAAGCCATTATTTATTAGGCACAATATACTAACACTCACTTGTCTGTTTATTTTAGAAATGGTACTTTTAGTTTTTAAAAAATATAAATGTAATATTATTACCTCCAGCAATACTCGAAGAACCTCTTACCTTTCCTTTTTATTGTTTTCTGCGGAACAATATGGTTTTAGACATGGGAGAACAATTACAGATGCCATGTTGGCTTTAATGAATAACATTCAGGAGTCTTTAGAAAACAAATCACAATGCATAGCTATATTCACTGATCTGTCTAAAGCAGTTCACTGTTAAGTCACACATTGTTGATCAACAAACTAGATAAATATGACATTAGAGACATTGAAAATAAGATGATTGCTTCTTATTTGCAAAACAGACAACAAAGTGTATATTAAAGAAATAAACTTAGTAAACCTTTATTAATGAAAAGCGGTGTTCCACAAGGATTCGTACTAGGCCCTTTATTATTTTTAATATATACCAATGATCTTGCATCATATAGGAATTCAAATAATGTCGAATTACTAACTACCATGTATGCAGATAATACCAATTTCTCATATCACTGCAATAACACATCCGACATAGTTATCAAAAACTCTTAAGATTATGACTGAAGCTAAACAATGGTTTGATAGCAACCGAATTATTTTTAAATCACAGTAAAACTGAAACATGTGTCTTCAGGTTGAACCAAACTACTAGTGAAACAATGAACACTAAATTTCTCGGTATATATTTTGACACACAACTTAATGGAACTATCAAATAAATAACTTATGCAACAAGTTGGCAACATTTATGTTTGCTCTACGTAGAATATCAAATATAGTTAATACAGAAGCAGCAATAACTACTTATTATGGCTTATTCCATTCCAATTTAACATATGGAATTCTAACTTGGGTAAATGCTAGCTTCACTTCACTACAAAGACTTTTTACCTTGCAAAAATCAGCAGTTCACTCTATTCAGTGGGTAAATTATTATGAACCATGCCGACCACTATTTAAGCAACTTAGCATAATGACCCTGTTTTCACAAATAGTATTTGGAAACTTGCTAGTCATAAAAAATAATTTGGGAAACTTCACATGTCACTCAGACAATCATACATACGATACCAGAGGGAAAAATCAGCTAATCCAAACGAGAACTAGAATAAACAAGTCCCGAACAACAGGCATTTCATTCTATAATGCACTTCCGCCCCACATCAGTAATCTACCAGGAAAAAAGTTTAAACATCAAATTAAAAAGATATTACTGGACATGTGTCTATATAACAAACACAATTATAAGAGTGAAACATGTCACCTAATATTTTTAATATTGTTTTTATATATTTTTTATTACTATTACCAACCACGATCTTTTAAAATCCTATTTTATTTTAAATTTTATATGAGTATGCTGTAAGTTAATGTTTGTAAAATGTGGTGTATTTTACCACTTATGTGAACTGACGACTATGTAAACATGTTTATATATGTATTAACTACTGAGAATCAAATATTTATATTTCTATTGTGTATAGCGAGAAGAAGATATTTAACCACCTGCCAATTAATATAATAAGTGCTGACTCATTAAAAATATTTAAAAAACAAGTTAAGAAACTCTTGCTCGAAAAGGCCTACTACAAATTGGAGGAATTTTTCTGTGATCGGTTGAATTAAGTAACTCATTTTAATTTAAGTGTATTTTATATATTTGTTAATTGTCATTTTGTACTTGGTGTTGTGCATATACATTTTTGTTCTTTATATTATATTTTATGACTTGACAATAGAATTTTATAAATTTATGAAATATTTATGTTTTTTTCTTTGAATTTTAATTTTTTACTTTTGTTTTAACTTTCTTATATTATTGTTTATCTATATTTGTTAATAAGTATGTAATTAATTCTTCAACAATAAAGAAATTTTGACTTAACAATAATAATTATTTTATTGTTGAATTCCCCATAAAATTACCTTTTCAATTATGTGTTATATTTGGTACTTTTTCTATTTAAAATGTATTGATTGGAGTGATGGATGAGAGAATGACTAATGACAATTAAAGATATGATAGAAAGGTGAAATAAAAATTGACCAGTTCAAGATATATACAATACAAATTTGATTACTGGAGTCATCTGAGAATCAATGTAAAGAGTATATATTTGTTTTGTTTGATCCACTCCATGTTCAATCATACATTTTCTGTCACTTTATTTTGTAATTATTTATTATGTTATAGGAATGAAGCCAATAAACTTTAGCTGTTATATCAATTAAGTTACTTAATTAAAAATATTACTGCACAACTTATTTATGGTAATTATTGTTTTTATATAACTTACTTATTAATTTTCTTCAAAATAGTATCAAAACATATACCGCACACTTTTTCTTCCGACTCGGAAATTTTTATTAATTGTATTGCTTCTTCAGCACTTGATGTACTGGGGCCAAACAATTCTCTTAATGGTCCATTTTTAGGCTTAGTTAAAGATAGAGCACATGCACCTTCTTCCTCAATTGGTTTTGGCTAAAAAATAAAATCCTGATTTAAATATATAAACTGAAAAAAATTATACAAATTCTAATTTAACTGTATGACAATAAAATTAAACTTTAAGTTAGATAAGATATTTTAGGTATTTAATTAATGTTTTGTTTCAATTTCATATGCTTAAGTTTAATGAAACAATAAATGGTAATAAACATTTAAATAGTTTTATTTTAAAATAATAGTCTTCAACAATACCCATATCTCAAGAGACTAAATTGATGTTATCAGTTGGCTAAAAATAATATTAATACCTTCAGTAGTAACCCTAAAATAATGTCACTGATTGAATGGATACTTAAGGTGTCATAAAATTCACTAAGAACAGCCATTTTCATTAAATTTCTTGTTTTAGTAGGTCACAAGGAATACAGGTATTGTTAAAGACTCCTTATTATACCTAAATCTTAAAAGCACAGCCCATATTATTATGTTAAAAGGTCATTTCAGGTACAAACTTCATTTCATTAAAACATTTGTTGATTTAATATTAAAAAATGTCTGTGTACATTGATAAATGGAGTTTTGAATTATTTATTTGATTCAAATTAGGGTAAGACAGAGACGATTGTAAATATCCAGAGAAAAGATTAAAACCTATATTAGTCCAAAAGTAGAATTTGAAATGCCAGTATGAAACATATTTTGTTAAAGATAGAGAAATGTTAGAAAAAGTTCAGAGCTGTTGTTACTTAGAAAGGCTTTCCATTATACAACTCTAAATGCATAAAGAAAATAGACTTAGAGGTGACCTGATAGAAACGTACAAATGAATTAGTGGGAATTACTTTTGTAAACATACTTTTAATAGAGCACATGGAAGGATACTTCAAAAAAATGGAAAATTAAAAATGCATTAAGCTCCAAAGACACGATATGATAAACCAGGTGGTATACACTTGGAATAACCTGTAAGAGGACCTTGTCTCATCAAGATCAATTAATATGTTTAAGAATCAGCTTGACAGAGAATTGAAAACTACTTCATACATTCTAGTCCATTACACTGCATAACTTTTGCGCTAAACTCAGTCTCATCGGTTTGCATACATGTGATGTGCTAAATCCACACCTGTTATCAAGTCATAGCCTATTAAAATATGGGCTCTAGTTAATTATAAGTGTTTAATATGCATCTGTACTCAAGATATATGTATCTCTTATCTGTATAAAAGATGTGAATTGCAAGATTATTTTTAATGATTATTATTTTAAATGTATACAACAAAGTGTCATTATTAATGCTGCATTAGTATATTTTTCAATAAAACTTCACTTAAAAAGATTCTATCCCAGTAAATAAATACAAAAATTAATCCATGAGAAGATATCTTTCTAAGGATACATCAACAAAAAATGGTGCTGAAGAGAAAATAATAGCAAATGGAGATCCGGCATTAAAGAACCTAAATTGATAAAAACAATACAGAACAAGGATTTGTTGTATTCTTAACTTGTTGCATCTCTCTAATGACTGGAATGTTGACATGACCAAATTGATGTCTCATGTCAACACAATCTGTAAGACATCTGACTATTCTGATGAATCAAACTTATTTATTTTTAAATTGCCTTTTATCAAGTTCTTTATATCTATAATAACAACTTTATTACTAATATACTACTGTTTTACAGTACATTTGTTACACACAGTATAATAAGAAAATTAGACAATATAACAACAAAAACAATATTAGTTTAAAGTAAAATAAGTAGGTAAAAGATTTAAATAAGTTTTCCTAACCTCTATTTTTTTGACTTCCTTGACTTCTGTAATTTTCTTAGGGTTTTCATGACGATTCCAACATCTATTTCCAAATCTGCACATTCCTCTCAGATTGAACTTACAAATTGCTCTATTTTCAAGAATTCCAATATTCATCTTAGTAGTTTTTAATTCTATTAGTACACAATATAGATAGGATTCTCAAAGTAACAAGATTATTTAAAAAATAGATATGTATTTATAATTGAAAAAATCTTTGGTGACAAGAGACTATGATACAATATGATGTTTAAATGACATTCAAATTCATTTTTTTTTTTAGTTTTCACCTTGTTGAAATATCTGTAAATAAAGAAATACTTAAGATTAATTTTTTGATGGCTTCCAACTAACATAAATAAAACTGAAGTTAAATATTCGATAAAAACGTTCTAGTTTTTGCATTTATAAAACTATAAATTGGACCAGACCAAAAAACAGCTGGGAACAAGTCAGGCATCTTAAATCATGTAGATTAGATATATAGATTAGATTTATAAGATTAGATAATAGTAACACAACTTTTCTTTTTATTCATAGCAAATAGTGTGACTGTTCTTACCTTCAGAATCTTCAATACAAAAAACTAGGGGCTTGGTTAAGGTATGGCACACTTTTTTAATGAAACAATATTAATAACATAACTTGTATAAATATTAAACAAGTAAATGGATTACCATTCAAAACAAATCCATTCTAGATTCAATAAAACAACAATGGCTATTTCCCAAAGCAGATGTTAAGAAATGAGAAATTAAAAACCACAGCTTTTTCTATTATTTTATTTAAACGTTGAATCCGCGCAAGTGCCAACCAAAAAGATTGACAGACTGACAGACAATAGATAATGACACTATTGTCAAATGTCCGATGTAATAACGGACTTTGGTACAAAATCGTAGATTTTAAAAATATTTCTAACAAAAAAATACTAAATATTTGACCCCCAATGAAAAATATTCTATCACTTCATATTTTATATGCCCGAAGATTTGTATAATAAGGTTTTATTTCAAATTTAAATATGGGGAAGGTCCGCTTATATAAAATAATGGCAACGTTGATGATAATATTCCTTTCTTCTTCTGTTTTTCTAGTGCATTTTCTCTAGGTTTCTACAGCAACATAATCAGGTCTATGACACTCCCTTGGCGGGAAAAAGACGCACAGCTTTTACTGCACTGACGTTTTCGGGATATATATCACAGACCTTTTATATATTGTTTAATATATATGCTGCGTTTGAGAATCCACATCGGATGCATTTTTTACATCTCGAGCGTTTTTTTATCCACATCGGACACATCTGTCCCATTACATTTACGTATACTGAATCACGTGATCAAAGATTTTTTACATCTCAGATGCATCCGATGTGGATTCTCAAACGCAGCAAATCTATCACTTGCCATAAATCGTGAATCCGGTTCCCGGTGAATGTCTTTCATCGTGATCCGGTTAAAAACTCGCTACCATGTAGACATGGGTAACGCACTAAAATTATTTGCGTTGATACACTAACTCCGGCGCACTCTATTGCGCCAACTCATTGCGTTAACGCAATTGCGTTATTGCGTCACACCACTGCCTGCGCCGAATGAAGTCGATGCACCTCGATGTATCGCATGATACCGGTGTTATTCAGCGCGGGCTGTCCTTTTATAAGGGTCAAACCGGCAAAAACGCAATTGGAAATTTAACTAAATTTTTTTTTTATTATATGTTTAAAAATAAACGAAAATATAACAGTGTAATGCACTCATTTTTTTATTTCATTGTGTTCGGATTTTACAAAAAATACAAAAATTCTAATTTATATAAGAAGGATATAACTTTTGTATACTAGTAGCCAATCAAATTGGGAAGTACTAAAAATTAACAGTGTACAAGATTAAAATTCGACCTACAATCCTACAAATGATGTGACATGTTGCAAAGAACATAATTACTTGATAGATTTTGGGTAATCTACATTACGAGTTGCATCAATTACGTAAATTAAAATTCTCAACTCGTCACGGAAAACAGAATCAGTGCCTGGCGCATGGCGCACCAACAACTCGCGATCCTTTCGACTCAGTATCGAAAATTGCGTTGCGCTGATACAGTAACAGCTGGTGTATCAACGCTCGTAACGCATACAACTGCGTTAACGCAATAACGCAACGCAGCGCTGCGTTACCCATGTCTACTACCATGCGCAGGCAATAAATATTTTGTACACAAATGACAACTAAGATTCGCTTTTTGTTTTTAGTAATAACAAATCTCATACTTACATTGATTACTTCAACAAAAACGTGAGGGTAGTCCAATATAGAAGAATATAATGGGAGTTAAAAAAAACAATAATCCAATGCCCCTAATTGTCAGAATTGGGGCCATGCAACGACAAATTTTGGCAGACCTTCAAAGTGTCTAAAATGGGTTAGGGACCACCACACAAGAACGTGCCTAAAAAATCTGATGTGTCCAACACATGACTTTCCTGGCTTTTTCCGGTTATTTTGTACAACCTATTGCAGCACCTCTATAAATATTTAGAGGATAAACTAAATATATACATTTTCCCATACATCTACCTTGAAACATTTTTCTATAGATATTCATTGAAAACGAAAATACTGAAAAATTTAAATTTAGCACTCTTCCTCTAATTTTTCCATTACGGTCCATTTTAGAAAAATCATATATAAACAAAAACTATAGAGATCGATATCGCAAACAACTTTTAGTTCAACAATTTTCATAAAAATCAGAATTTTGCACATTTTGTCAAATTTCTGGAATACGGACCATTTCAGGAAATTTTGACATTAAACAAAAATTATAGATAATAATATTAGAAGTAACTTTTATTTGAACAATTTTCTTCTCCAAACATAAATAAGAGACATATTACATAAAATATAAAAACGGCCTCCCATAAAGTACCCCCCCAGATGTTTCGACTTTGTCCAAAAGTTAATCATTTCACGTCAGGCCGAAATAAAACTTAAGTTTAAAATTTCATGTTTTTTTCTTTATCCGTTTTTGAGTTTTCTTCAAAATTCGAAATTTACACATTTTCTCAAATATCTCAAATACGGTCCATTTTAGAGAAATTATGTATATAATAAAAATTATAGAGAATTATATTACAAACAACTTTTATTTGAATAATTTTTATAAAAAAATATTTTTTTTTTCATTTTGTCAAATTTCTCGAATACGGAACATTTTAGGAAAATTTTGTAAAACACAAAAATTATAGATAATAATATTAGAAGTAACTCTTATTTGAAGAATTTTCTTCTCCAAACGTAAATAACAGATATATTTCATAAAATATAAAAATGGCCACCTATAAAGTACCCCCAGATGTTCCGACTCTGCCCAAAAACTAATCAGTTCATTGGAGATGGAATAAAGCTTAAGTTTAAAATTTGGTGTTTTTTTGTGTATTGGTTCATGAGTTATGGTGGATACAGTCACAGACCCAGACACTGACACTGACACAGGCACAGACACAGACACAGACGCAGACGCAGACGCAGACGCAGACGCAGACGCAGACGCAGACGCAGACGCAGACGCAGACGCAGACGCAGACGCAGACGCAGACGCAGACGCAGACGCAGACGCAGACGCAGACGCAGACGCAGACGCAGACGCAGACGCAGACGCAGACGCAGACGCAGACGCAGACGCAGACGCAGACGCAGACGCAGACGCAGACGCAGACGCAGACGCAGACGCAGACGCAGACGCAGACGCAGACGCAGACGCAGACGCAGACGCAGACGCAGACGCAGACGCAGACGCAGACGCAGACGCAGACGCAGACGCAGACGCAGACGCAGACGCAGACGCAGACGCAGACGCAGACGCAGACGCAGACGCAGACGCAGACGCAGACGCAGACGCAGACGCAGACGCAGACGCAGACGCAGACGCAGACGCAGACGCAGACGCAGACGCAGACGCAGACGCAGACGCAGACGCAGACGCAGACGCAGACGCAGACGCAGACGCAGACGCAGACGCAGACGCAGACGCAGACGCAGACGCAGACGCAGACGCAGACGCAGACGCAGACGCAGACGCAGACGCAGACGCAGACGCAGACGCAGACGCAGACGCAGACGCAGACGCAGACGCAGACGCAGACGCAGACGCAGACGCAGACGCAGACGCAGACGCAGACGCAGACGCAGACGCAGACGCAGACGCAGACGCAGACGCAGACGCAGACGCAGACGCAGACGCAGACGCAGACGCAGACGCAGACGCAGACGCAGACGCAGACGCAGACGCAGACGCAGACGCAGACGCAGACGCAGACGCAGACGCAGACGCAGACGCAGACGCAGACGCAGACGCAGACGCAGACGCAGACGCAGACGCAGACGCAGACGCAGACGCAGACGCAGACGCAGACGCAGACGCAGACGCAGACGCAGACGCAGACGCAGACGCAGACGCAGACGCAGACGCAGACGCAGACGCAGACGCAGACGCAGACGCAGACGCAGACGCAGACGCAGACGCAGACGCAGACGCAGACGCAGACGCAGACGCAGACGCAGACGCAGACGCAGACGCAGACGCAGACGCAGACGCAGACGCAGACGCAGACGCAGACGCAGACGCAGACGCAGACGCAGACGCAGACGCAGACGCAGACGCAGACGCAGACGCAGACGCAGACGCAGACGCAGACGCAGACGCAGACGCAGACGCAGACGCAGACGCAGACGCAGACGCAGACGCAGACGCAGACGCAGACGCAGACGCAGACGCAGACGCAGACGCAGACGCAGACGCAGACGCAGACGCAGACGCAGACGCAGACGCAGACGCAGACGCAGACGCAGACGCAGACGCAGACGCAGACGCAGACGCAGACGCAGACGCAGACGCAGACGCAGACGCAGACGCAGACGCAGACGCAGACGCAGACGCAGACGCAGACGCAGACGCAGACGCAGACGCAGACGCAGACGCAGACGCAGACGCAGACGCAGACGCAGACGCAGACGCAGACGCAGACGCAGACGCAGACGCAGACGCAGACGCAGACGCAGACGCAGACGCAGACGCAGACGCAGACGCAGAGGCAGACGCAGACGCAGACGCAGACGCAGACGCAGACGCAGACGCAGACGCAGACGCAGACGCAGACGCAGACGCAGACACAGACGCAGACGCAGACGCAGACGCAGACGCAGACGCAGACGCAGACGCCCGCGCACACGCACACGCACACGCACACCCACACGCACACACACACACACACACACACACACACACACACACACACACACACACACACACACACACACATTGACAGACATCATCGCGAAAATAGTCAAAACGGATTCAGAGGACCTCAAAACGTAAAAATTCGTCGAAAACTCGAGGTCGAAAAAAAATCATGGTTCCTATACTTTCCTTATATCTGTATACAGATAGGAAAGTAAAAAAAGGAATTCACTTAGTACGAATGATTACGACCGCTCGTCAACAAAAACCAAAAGGAACCCCCCGAAAATAAACTTGTAATTTCTCAAGAATGCTCTTGATGATTTTTCTTGACCCTGTACTTTAATATTATGATTTAATAAAAACCTTGTCCAACCACACGTTTTATTATTTTATTGAAAATCTATTTAGCGCGCATGCCCAACTTTGTCTTAAAATTTATTTTGTACATATTTTAAACTAAAAATAAAGATTTTTAAAACGAATGAAATGAATAACGTCTTTGAGCTCTCTCAATACATGGATTTGGCAAGATGTCTAAAAGCCATCTTAAGAACGTGTTTAAGTTCTCATATTA